TAAACATGATCTAATTGAAGTATAAACATGTCAAGATTCATAATAAATAAATTCAATCTTATTTTCCACACTGTTGACAGTAGCAGCATTTGTGCATAGAACACAAACCCTATGCAACCGGTGATAGCCTTGTTAACACAGAAAAACAGTTCTGTTCTGCGTTGTTTTATTAGAAACTGAAAATGCCAAGTTTATAGACTTAACAATACAACTGACTGCCTAGAAATTAGGAAACTGACTCACACACTAACCGCACATCCTTAATGTGTGCAAGATAATAGGAATTAAATAGGAAACTGACTCACACAATAATAGCACATCCTAAATGTGTGCAAGATAATAGGAATTAAATGTAACTAACAATTAATTAAAAAACAAATAATAGAAATAATTCTATACTTAAAACTGACTTATTCAACAATTCCTCCCTTAAACTGCATGCTCCTTGCAACAGTTTATCTCAGACTCGTCAAGCATTCCTAGAGAACTTAACAAATGTTGGAATTCTTCAACTTTAAGTGGCTTCGTCATGATGTCTGCTAACTGATCTCTTGTACTGCAATAATTCAGCTCAATAACACCGTCATTACATAAATTTCTCAAAAAATGAAACCGAACATCAATATGTTTACTTCTTCCATGCAAAACTGGATTTTTGGATAATTTAATTGTTGAGATATTATCACAAAAAACCACAGTAGCTTCTTCTTGACAATGACTTAGATGTTCCAAAATTCTTCTCAGCCAAACACATTGGCAAACACATAATGCGGCTGCTATAAACTCTGCTTCTGTTGTGGATAAGCTAACAACCGGCTGTTTCTTTGACACCCAAGAAATCACACCACCTCCTAGCAAGAAGGCATAACCCGAAGTGCTCTTCCTATCATCAAGGTCTCCTGCATAATCACTGTCAGTATAGGCAATTAACTCTTTATTTCCTCCAGCCTTATAGAAAATTCCTAGATTTTGGGTGCCTGGTAGATATCTCAAAATTCGCTTTGCTGCCATGAAATGACTCTCCTTTGGCTCTTCCATGAAACGACTTATCAAACTGACAGAATATGCAATATCTGGTCATGTAGCTGTAAGGTACATAATACTTCCCACAAGTTGTTTAAATAGAGTCGTATCGACCTTCACTCCCTTGTCTTCTTTTAATAACTTGCAGCCTGGAACTATAGGACTCTTCACGGGATTACAATCAGACATGTTAAATTTGTTTAATATATCCTTAATATATTTCTTTTACCCAACAAAGATACCATTGCAACCTTGCAAAACTTCAATGCCCAAAAAATATCTCATCTTGCCTAAGTCAGTCATTGCAAATTCTTTCATCATCATAGTTTTGAACTCTTGAAACATCGAAGTATCATTACCGGTATATATAAGATCATCTACATAAACACACACAATTAAAATTTCACCTTTCTCTTTCTTCTTCATAAATAAAGTGTGTTCATGTGGACATTTCAAAAAATCATTTGCTGCAAGATGAGATTCCAGCTTGTTGTACCAGGCTCTAGGAGCCTGCTTAAGGCCATACAATGCCTTCTTAAGCTTGTATACTTTATGCTCACATCCTTGAAATACATAACCTGGCGGCTGCTCTAGGTAGACGTTTTCGTTGATTGCTCCATGTAAGAAAGCTGATTTAATATCAAGTTGATGAATACCCCACCTTTTTGTAGCTGCCAATGCAACAACAGTCCTGATGGTTTCAAGACGAGCAACCGGCGCAAAGATCTCACTATAATATATGCCTTCCTCTTGAGTGTAACCTTTTGCCACAAGTCTAGCCTTGAATTTGTCAATCTCCCCTGTCTCCTTCAGCTTAGTTTTGAAAATCCACTTGACTCCTACAACTTTGCAATTTGGTGGTGGATCAATTAGCTCCCATGTATCATTCCTTTGAATTGCTTGAATTTCAGCATCCATTGCATCCCTCCAATGCTGAAATTTTGATGCTTGTTTATATGTAACTGGATCTGAACCTGCAAACATGGCAAAATTCATTACATCTTCCTCAGTTAAATCATCACCAGTGACATAATCTTTCATCCATATTGGTGGTCTTCTAGTCCTCCCTTCAGGTGAATTTTCTGAAGCTCTTGAAATGGTGGAATCCAACATATTTGAGGTTGAGTTTGGAGCTGCATCACTTGTAGTTGTTGTTGTATCATTAGATTTTTTTGGATTATCTCATCATCTTCTTGACTAGATTCTTCCAAAGGATTCAACTCATTTGTATCAATTGTTATGCTTGTTTTTGCGTCACCCCAATCCCAAGCAACACCCTCCTGAAATTTAACATCTCTGCTGATCCAAATTTTCTTCTTGATTGGATCATAAAGTTTGTAGGCCTTAGACTCCTCACTTACACCCAACAACACACATTTGATACTTTTATCATCAAGTTTGCTTCTTTTCTGATCAGGTACATGAACATATCCAATGCTACCAAAGATTCTAAAATATGACACAGATGGCTTAATTCCGCTCCATGCTTCCTCTGGTGTGACGTTCTTGACAGCAAGAGTTGGGCTTCTGTTTAAAATATGAATCACCCATTTTACAGCTTCTGGCCAAAATGATCTGGGGACTCCTTTTTCCACCAAAACGTTGCGAACCATATTTATAATAGTTTGATTTTTTCTCTCAGCTACGACATTTTGTTGTGGCGTGTATGAAGCAGTGAGTTGCCTTTCAATACCATGTTTACTGCAAAATTCAGCAAACTCCTTAGAAAGATACTCCCCCCCTCTATCGGTACGCAAAATTTGAATGGGAGCACCAACTTGTTTTTCAACTAGTGCTTTAAACTCTTTAAATACACCAAAAGTTTCATCTTTCTCCATAAGAAAATATACCCATACTTTCCTACTTAAGTCATCAATGAAAGTGAGTATGTACCTTTTATTTCCATTGGATGTTGGATTGATAGGACCACAAATATCAGAGTGAATTAACTGCAGCAACTGAGATGCTCGCCAATTACTTTGTCGTGGAAAAGGATCTCGTTGATGTTTCCCTTTGAGGCAATGTTCACAAAGTTGAGATGTTGGTTTGAAGGAAGGCAGCCCTTTCACCATATCGTGCTCCATTAAGGTTTTTAGTCCACTGTAGCTCAAGTGACCATAACGAGAGTGCCATACTCGAGTTGGTGGCGTATAACTGGCTTGAAAACAGGATTGGGAGACTCCGGATTTTACACTAATAGCAAACATACGATTAGTAGTCATGAAGGTTTCAAAAATAAGGCCATTTTCTTTAAACACTCTGCACTTGTTTTGCTTCATTTCAACCGTTAACCCTCTTTCCAGAAGTTGCCCCACGCTAAATAAATTATTTTTTAGCTCATGCACATAAAATACATCATTTAAAAAATGCACGACTCTGTTTATCAAAAGTTTAACCATACCTTTTCCATCGACCTTTAGAGCATAGTTATTCCCTAATTTCACTTCATCTGAAAAACTTTCATCAATGAAGGAGAACCAATCCTTTCTTCCTGTCATGTGGTTGCTACATCCTGAATCGATGAACCACATGACTTGTGTATTTGATTTTCCATCTGATGAAAGTTGTGCCATGAGTAACACTGCTTCCTCATTGGTCTCAGCATAATTTGCAATGATGTCCTGTGGTTTCTTTGGGCATTCATACTGAAAATGTCCAAACTTATGACAGTAATAACATTCCACTGCTGCCTTATCTACTCGTTGTCTACCTCCTCTGCCTCTTCCTCGAGCAAATCCACTCCGAAAGCCACCTCTTCCACGACCACAACCACTATTTGTCTCATCTTGAGTTACTTTCAACACTTGCTCTTCATGTGAATTATGCCCATTCATTCGTTGTTCGTGTACCAACATACTGCTTTGGAGTTCATCTACAGTCATAGAATCCAAAACATGAGATTCTTCGATAGAACACACTACATAATCATATCTCGAGGTCATTGAGCGAAGAATCTTTTCGACAACGGTAAGATCTAACATTTGTTCACCGTACATTCGCATCTTATTTGCAATAGTGAGAGTTCGAGCAAAATAGTCATTAACTGATTCTCCATTCTTCATCTGTAAAATCTCTCATTCGCGTCGTAGGGCTTGAAGTTGTGCTCGCTTCACTCTAGCAGTGCCTTGGTATTTATATTTTAAGGAATCCCATATCTCTTTCGATGTCTCCTTCTTTAAAATTGTTTCAAGCACAGATCGATCAATTGCTTGAAAGAGGTAATTCTTTACCTTCAAATCTTTTAGTTTAAGCTCGTTCACTGTTTTCTTCTCGTTCTCCGTTAATACAGCACCATTAGCATGTTGAGGAATCCCTGGATCAATAAGATTCCAATACTCGTTTGACCTTAAAAAATTCTCCATCAGCATTACCCAATGATCATAATGCTCGCTCAATTTTGGAATCGCAGGTTGCACGAAGTTGCCATCAATGGTTGCTGCCATGATTGAAGTCTGTTGCTTCTCTTTTCTTGCTACAAACCTAGCTCTGATGCCAGATGTTAACACAGAAAAACAGTTCTGTTTTGCGTTGTTTTATTAGAAACTGAAAATGTCAAGTTTATAGACTTAGCAATACAACTGACTGCCTAGAAATTAGGAAACTGACTCACACACTAACAGCACATCCTAAATGTGTGCAAGATAATAGGAATTAAATGTAACCAACAATTAATTAAAAAACAAATAATATAAATAATTCTATACTTAAAACTGACTTATTCAACAAGCCTTTAAGTTCAAAAATATCAACTTAGCATCCAGGAACTTGACAGTGCGCCGATGTAGATGCATGAACGGTTCGAGCATGTTCCTTCTTGGTAAACTATCGTCTTCAAGCAGAGCATCACGTTTGGGGCATGTACGTGGAGCCTGACCCACTTAAGAAATCTAAATGACACTAGTAATTTTTTTTGACCAAGTAATTTTTGAAATTATGAATCTACCAAGACTTAAAATTGAATATAATTGTAATTAATGTTACGTAGAAGAACTATGAATCCAATAATAATCATTCAGCTGCCTTATTTCCCTTGTATTGGGTTTCTTATATTCCATTGTGAGTTTACCCTTTCCCTGTGTCATCGAACTAAGAACTGGAGAATACCGAAAGATATTGTTAAGAGGGACATGAGCTCTAATGATAGAATCATCTCCATCTTGATCATTGCCAAGAATCACACCTTTTCTCTTGTTCAGATCGGCAGTGACAGCTCCTTGAAATTCTGTGGGTACTTTCAACTCAACAAGCATGATAATCTCGGGTTTAGAAATAGCCATAGAAGTCATTGTGTACTTAACTAACCCATCAGTAAAAGTATCTCCCGCTGCACATTCCAGCCCAAATACTGCAACTATTTGACCAGCATGGGCCTCTTGAATGTCATGCATTTTTTCATGAGAATGCATTTGACAGAGACGAGAAATCTTAATATTCTTACCCGTGTTAACATTAAAAATTGAACCACCCTTTCGAATGACGCCGTCATAAATTCTTAGGTAAGTTAACGGTCCTGACAGTGTTTGCTCCGACTTGAAAGCCAATGCTACAAGGGGTGCATCAGGACTTCCGGTAAGCTCAACCTTCTCTTCATTCTTAGATTGGTCAAGAGCATAATTTGTAACTTCAATTGGACATGGAAAATAACTAAGTATGCCATCCAAAAGTGGTTGTACCCCCTTGTCTTTGACAGCAGTGTCCATGAATACCGGTATAAATTTCCGAGCTATGGTAGCCCTACGAATTGCTCCCTCAAGATCAGCTTCTGAAATGGTCTCGTCACTGAGAAAAGCTCCGGCAAGTATTTTATCAACCTCAGACACTGTTCGAATGAGTTCCCGTCTTTTATCTGCCACCAAAGTTTCCATGTTTGAAGGTACCTTTTCCTTGCCGTGTGAACCTTCAAAATAATAGGCCTTTAACTTGACAAGATCAACAAGTCCCTTGAATTCATTCTCCAAACCTATTGGAACTTGAATTGCAGCAGTACGGCGAGGAAAGTGAGATCTAATCTGGTTTAAAACTTTCCATGGATCTGCTCCCATTTGATCAAGCTGGTTGATAAATGTAATTCTTGGAACTTCATTTTTTCTCATTTGGCAATCAACAGTAATGGAGTGACTTCGCACACCACCAAAACTACAAAGAACAAGAATGGCGCCGTCAACAACACGCAAAGCCCTCTCAACTTCAGTGGTGAAATCAACGTGTTCAATTATGTTGATCTTAGAGCCTTTCCAATTGCAATAAGTAGAAGCAGACTTAATGGTGATTCCATTCTTTCTCTCCAAATCCATACTATCCATCGTCGCACCACAACCACCTTTCCCGCGAACTTCGTGCATCTTGTGGATCTGATCCGTGTACAACAGTATCTGCTCCGCCAACGTCGTCTTCTCGGAATCCATGGGCGCTAAGATCCCAATGTTGCGAACCTTTTTCATCGACTCCTTCCACCAAGGATCCTTATCAATATTCGCCGCCGCCGTAGCGTGAGCCACGCTCCCAGCTGAGAAATATCGGGGGTGGAAAGTGCCACCGATGAGGGACCCCGCCGTTGTGGCGGAGGAGGAGCAGAGTGCGTAAAGAAGGCGCTGCGGGCGTGCCATGGTGGTGTGGTGTAGTTCAGTTTAGGGTTTTTTTTCTTTGTTCAATTAGATCCGATTGTTTCTAGTGCAGAAAAGAAGAAAAAATTTGCGGCGTTAGGCACATAGATTTTGGCACTCTCCCTTGGGCTTGGATATCCGATCTAAAATGGGGATTTTGGTCTAGCGCAGGGGTTATAAATACCTTCTTTTAACAAAGGATCAGATATTCATTTTTTATTCAACCAAACGAACCTCTTAATGTTCCACCAGAATGAGCGGATCACTATGTTGGAGAAAAAACGTCGATCACGCTCCTCATCAAGAAGGAACCGACAATCTAGATCGCGTACTTTGTCCCTAAGGCGCCGAGACGCCCGTTTGATGTCTCCCCCGCGTAGACACGAACAGGAAGACTCATAAAGCCTCTCGCCCCAACCAAATGGTCGACGACCCCGACTCGAGAGAGAACAGCCTGTGGCGACCAAGAAGCAAGGGCAGCGAAGCCCGCAACCCGAGGAATCGACAGAGCTACCGAGGTTCCAAATATGAAGACCCTGAACCCCCGCGGCGAGGCGGAGAAAAAAAGAATAGAAGACAAACCTCACGACTCTCGCGAGCACAGAGGTCTAGCTGGACACTTCACCGAGTACACCCTGCTGACTGCTTCCCGCGAGCGTATCCTCACTGAGTTTGCCAACGTTGAATTCAAGGATGGGGGTCCGACGACCCTAACCTATAACTCTTAAGCTCGGGGTCGACGGGACCAATTACTATCAGTACCACCAGAGTCATGGTCACGTCACTAAGGACTGCGTCTGCCCGAAGAACGCCATCATAACCCTCATCAAAGCAGGACGGCTCGGACAGTACAAAAGGAACGATGCCCCTCGCCGTGACAATCACGAGATAAAAGAGGTTGAGGAAGAGACTCGACACTCCGATGAAGCTGGCCCCCTCCAAATTTCTATGTGCATTTCGCGTTCCGAGGACTTCTATATCCCCGACAACACCGACGACGATACACCCCTGCTTACCCACAACAAGTGGGAAAGATTCCCCTCCGCCATAGTCATATTCGGCGGAGGGGTTCAACATTTTCTCTATGGGTCCAGACTGTGACCCTCGACAGGTTCCGAGGAAAATCTAAGCCCATCTCCTTTTACCTCGAGGAATTGCCTGGTGGAGCTCTCAACTACATCATCCATTTGCTCGTTAGAGCAAAAATGACCAACTTCGATGTGCGCCACATCCTAGTCGATAAGGGATGTTTCGTCGACATAATGTATACCCAATTGTTCCAGACTCTCCAGCTCGACAAGACCCACTTGTCACCGTACATCATATCTGACTTGCAAGGCTTTAACGGCTCGACCTCTAAGCCTTTGGGGTTATGTCGAACTGCATGTCACGTTCGGTGAAAAAGTTGCCTCCAAGCAGGTCAAGGTCCGCTTTCTGGTGATCGATTTCCCGTCTCTCTACAACTGTATCCTGGGAAAACCAACACTAACCGAGCTGACTATCGTGCCCTCCACGGTCCACTTGATAATGAAGTTTTACATGAAGAGGGTCTGCATCACCACCATCCATGGACACATCGAAGCTGCACGAAGATGCTTCGAGGCGGCCTCAAAGGGGAAAAACATGATCGACACAAAGCCTAAATCTGTCAGTAGATCGACCTCCTCCGCAAATAAGCTCGCTCAGACTGAAGAGAATGAGCCTCCTTCTCATGTCGACTCCATTGACCATGAGGCCCGCTTCACCAAAGATGAGGTCGAAGTCCCCAATAGCGAATAAGATCCCATTCATCCAATCCATGATAGAGACTTTGAAATCACCCTCTCGGCAACTATCCGAATAAAGGCGTGAAGATTGGAGTCGGACTCCCTGACCTGGCAAGGAAGCAACTCAAAGCCTGTCTGAGAGAGAATGTTTATTTGTTCCCGTGGAGCGCTGCTCAAATTCCCAGACTCACCCCTGAGGTCTCCTGCCACCAGCTCACTATAGATCCTGCCGCTAGGGTTGTAGTTCAACATATGCATAGGCAGTCTCTCTCGAGAGTGGAGGCTGCTAAAAAGTTGTAAAAGACCTCCTAGAGGAAAATTTTATTTGAGGCCCAATATTCAACCTGGCTCTCCAACGTTGTACTCGTTAAGAAAAATAATGGAAAATGACGTATGTGTGTTGATTATACTGATCTCAATCGGGCATGTATCAAAGATGCATATCCTCTACCTAATATTGATAGACTGGTCGACAACTCGGTTGGCTATAAACTCTTGTAATTTAGGATGCATATTCAAGTTACAATCAAATCCCCATGGAGATGAGTGACAAATAGTGCACGGCCTTAATGACCGAGTCCTGCAATTATTACTACAACGTAATGCCCTTAGGCCTGAAAAATATGGGTTCTACGTACCAAAGGATGATAACAAAGTATTCCACAGGGAAATCGGTGACACGCTCAAGGTCTACATGGACGACATGATCGTCAAATCTCAAGCAGAAATCAATCATACAACCCACCTGAAAAGAGTTTTTGACCGAGCAAGGAGATGTAAGATGAGGTTCAACTCGGAGAAGTTCACCTTCAGAGTCAGGGCAGGTAAGTCCCTCGGCTTCTACTCGATGGAATGAGGAATCAAAGCCCACCCCGACAAATGCAGGGCCTTCTCCGATCTCCCCACGCCAGACTCAGAAAAATCCATACAAATCTTGAACGACATGTTGTTGTTTTTCCCCTAAGATTCTCCATCATACCATATCATCACAATGCATCAAGATCACACATTAGGGTTGATTCTCTCTTTCCACCCTATCTTATATTTAAGTTTGTTCTCGAGGGATCACCAAGCACCTTGAATTGTGTGTCTTGTATATATATTTTATTAACCAAAATCCAAAAATATGTATGTTTCCTCTTTATACTTTGTGACTTGTAGGTGTGGAACCAAGTGTGTCTCTCTCACCTCCTAACCTAAGGTTTTGAAGGTTGATCCTCAGTCAAATTTCTATTCAATGAATTTAAAAATTTTGAGCTTCAAGGCAATGACATCAAAGTTCTTTGACTTAAAGAGATCTCTCAACCTTATTTGGTTAAGTTTGTCTCAAAGATTAGTTGTTGGATCCATCAATAAAAATCATAGGCTCATGTGTTTATTTCCAAGCATTCTTCAACAAATTTCATTGAGATATGAGCTACATCATCAAAGTGTGCTTCAAGATAATATCATTGCAAGGTCATATGTGAGTCATCGTGCCTTGGTTTGCAAGAAAAGTTTAAAAGATTCAAAGTTGATCCAAGTAGTTTGACCTAATTTGGACAAGTTCTTGATTTTATGATTACAAGTGCATAATTCTCTCAATTTTCAATATGTTGAGGTGGTTATTTTTGCTATGGATTCTTATCATCATCTACAACAACTTATATTTACATTATAAGATCCATTTATGTAAATAAAATCATCCAAATTTGAAGGGGGTTACAAGTCACTTTTGTACTTTTCAAGTGAGGGTTTGTTGACTTCCAAAGACCATATCTTGCTCAATATTTTAGATTTTGAAGTTATTCTAAAGCCGTGATTCTCTTCAAAGAGTCCTTAACAACTTCTCTTCAAGGATTAAAGGCCAATTTTTAATATAATATCATTTAAGTTTGAAGAAGATTACAAGTCCTTTGGAAAAGCTATTAAATGCTCTAATTTGACTTCAAAGGACCATAACTTGGTCAATTTTTATATCCTTGAGCTCATTATTTTTCTAAAATAAACTTAAGGGTGTCCGCTACAACTTTTTTTCAAGGTGCAAGGCTTGAAAATTCTTGGAAAGTCCTTAAAGAATTGAAAAGCTTATAGGTCATCCATGGAAGTCTCAAGAAAATTTCATCATCTTCCAATGGCCATAGCTAATTTTGAATAGTCTATTCCATTTCATCTTCAAAGATAAATAGCTAATTTTGAGTGGAAGGACTTGTAAGTTTGCAAAACATTATAGGTCATTATGAAGCTCTATACTTAGAGTTTTTTCTAAGTGTCAAAATCCGTGTGTTTTTCCCAACTTCAAAGATGCACATATCTCAGCTCAAGCATCTAAATACAACCTTTCTTAGCACATTATAAAGAGTGTGGAGAGATCTTTCAAATGTAACAAGAATGAGACCATAAAACCTCTTAAGCAAGTTGTACCATGAATTTGAAGATGGAACATTGAAACTGTTTTTTTTTTAAACAGTTAGATTGCAAATTGCTTAATGTGGCTTCTAATCACAAAAGTTGTTGCGCGTTTTCCACTTAAACATGTTTTAAAAAGTTTCTAAGACTTGTTCAAGAATTGCAACACAAGTTTTGGCTAAGTTTTGATGCACATGGAGTCACACTTTTTGCAATCATCAGGCTAGATTGGATTACTTTTATTTTGACATATTTGTAGGTGTTGAAAGCATATAATTCCTTGTGCGGAAGCAGCTTGCTCGACAGAAAACAAGGAAGTGCCCAAAATATTGTATCAAAGTGTGGAAGCAGTTTGTTACACACATATTTGATTTAGATCTAAAATAGATATATTTGATTTAGGTCAAAAATTAGATAAATTTGATTTAGTTCCAAAATAGGTATTTTGGGCTTTTATAGTTTTGGGTTTTGGATTAGAGAGCAAGTTAACCTAAATCTATAAATAAAGGGAGTAACCCTTATTTTTGTAATGAAATTGTATTCATAGAATTTGCAGTTGCAAGTGAATAAGAAGTTTTTCCACAGTTTGTGGGAAGAGAGAAACTTTGCAGAAAATCATTCTCTTTCTTTCTTTCTTTCACATTTTTCATCGTTATTGTATGCTGATAACAATCTTGTTCATCAAGATTGATAGAAATTCAGCATAGGTTTTGGTGGGCTTTCAACATCTGGTATCAAGAGCTTCTATTAAGCGATCAAAGGAAGAAGAAGAAAATCAATGGCGATGAATTATGCGAATGGAAATTTTTCATCGAATCTCTCAATTATTAAAGGGGATAACTATGAGAA